GTGCAGGGAAAAGTTTTCTAATTGAAACGATTAAACATTGGATCAGAATAAATTTGGAAAAAACGACTGCCATATCTGCTCCCACGGGTATCGCAGCATTCAATATCGATGGCTTGACAATCCATAGAATGTTTCAACTACCGGTTAGTCATGAATCTACACCAAAATATACGCAATTGTCAGACATGGTCTTGAAAACTTTGAGAGACAAATTAAAGAATGTCGAATTATTTATAATCGAAGGAATTACATGTAACAATGCAATGATGGATTTAGGAACGACTGTATTCAGTGATGGTCAAGCCTATGTAGGTTTGTCACGAGTAAGTAAATTGGAAGGCCTACATTTGATAAATTTCAATCCAGCATCAGTTAAAGCAAACGAGAGCCATTGTAGAATATAATCGACTGAGATCTATATTCAAATCTGAACTGCCACAAATCAATCCGTCCGAGAAAAAGGTTGTGAAAATGTACGATCGTCGATGGGATATCCCTAATATCATTGATGATATGCAGAATTATGATTGTGAGGAACCAGAAAGTATAGTTACGTGGAAAATATATGGCCTTTGCAATAATGATGCTGTTTCGTGTTACGCTAATGTAATATTACAATGTGCGTTTCATTGCGTACGCATTAGGCAACAAATACTGAAAAATAAAGCATCGAATGCATTGATTGATGCTATCTGCGCGTATGGTGAACGTAAATATTGCAACATTCAAGCGGTTAGAAGATCTGTCGGAAAACGCTTCGAAGAACGAACACAACAAGATGTTTCGGAATTTTTTACGGCTCTAATGTCGACGTATTCCGACATCAATAATGTATTAAAACTCGAATTAAAGCACGTAACATGTTGCTCGAATGTCAAATGTAATTACAATGTAACTAAGCTGGAAAGCAGTAGTTTGTTAATATTACCTATACATTCGACATTAAAAAGGAAAAAAGGTGTCACTCTACAAAGTTTGATTAATGTAGAATTTTCTAAATGGGAAACGATAAACGGCAATTGTAACGAATGTAAGGGCACCGTGTTGAAAAAGAAAACCGTAATCGAATCAACTTTATCCGTCGTAGTAATACAGCTCAATTTATATACTTTTGTAAACGGTGCTTCTAAAAAAATTATCAACAATCGGATTACCGCCGTGCCGACGAGTAATATCACGATTAATAAAAAAAGTACAAGCTAATAAGCGCTATATTTCACGAAGATGAAAAAATGAATCGTGGTCACTACACGTGTATGTTGAGAGCTGACACAAAATCGGAATGGTATTACTCTAATGATATGGAAGTGTTCAAGAAAAAATGGCCCAAAGGAGCACAAGGGGCATACATATTGTTCTTAGAACAGATTAAATAATGGCGCTGTATAAAGACTGCCGTAAACGCTACATTAAAACATCAACTGTTCTAGCGCTGTATAAAAGTTGCCGTAAGCGCCAAAATAAAATATCGGCTGCTCTGGCGCTTTATAAAAGCTGCTGTAAGCGCTGCATTAAAACGAGTGCAATAAGTTTCTAATTTGACCTAGGCTTCATGACATTTCAAGAAGTATCATCAAGAAAAAAATTATCAGACAGAAATATGTATGTCGTGTTAAAATCGGAGAGACGAAGAAAAATATATGGTTGCGTTCTCACGAGAATGGGCGATGGAGGGGCCCATTCCTTATTTTCAATATTCATACAAGAATATAAATTCATTCTGTTGCAATTGAAATAAATGTGCAATGTATCGTTAAAAGTTATTACAATTATACAAACATTTACATATATGATTAAATAAAATATTATATGTATACTATAATATAATTATATATTTTATATATGTACATATATACCATATATTTCAATTATTTTGAACTGTATTGCATAAATTGTTACTTATACAAAGTTATGTGATAAGAATCGAAAATACATATATTTGTGATACTTGAATTACTAGAAAGCTGCTCTATATATCTGTACTTTAAAAAGTAAGTGATATCCTAAAAAAATCATAAAAATGAAAAGGTCAGGCCATGTTCAAAAGAAGGTACTCAAAAATTTAAACGATCTAATAATAAATTATCACGAAAAGTAACTGATATGTTATTCAAGGTGCCAGTTCAAAGTGAACATACAGGGTTTGTCCGGAAAGTAATGCGTCGCATTTTTTTGTGACGCGACTATACATCGCAGAGCGATGGGACCGGTTGGGGAGGAAGGGGGGTACCCTTAGCTTTCCAACGGTAGGTCGCTCAATTGTTTCCATGCGCTTGGAAGGTTAGGACGGCTTATTCTGTGAACCTCTGCTTAGTGGTCGCGTCGAACTTGTGATGGAGAGAACGATAGAGCAACGCTATGCGATAAAGTTTTGCGTGAAGCTGGACAAGACGCCGCTGGAAACTTTTGAAATGCTCAAGAAAGTTTGGCCCGGCGGACTTTTTTTTATTTCCTCGGCTGAAAAGGGAGCTCAAAGGACAACAGCTCGAGTCGGTTGACAACGTACAAGCTACTTCGACGGCCTCCCTGAACAGCATCCCAGTCAAGGAGTTCCAGAAATCTTATGACGCATGGAAATCGCGTTGGCAAAAATGTATTGACGCAGAAGGGTCATACTTCGAACAATTTTAAGTTGTTTTACCTATGCGATCAATAAATTCTTTTTTAAAAAAATGCGACGCATTACTTTCCGGACAAACCCTGTACGTAAAGTGTATATTATCTAAATTTAGTAATAATATATTATCATGAAAAGTAACTGTAATATTTTATTCAAGGTGCAAGTTCACATTGAATATACATACATATAAGTAAAACTGATTACAATTTGATTCTAGAAAATAAGTGCGATATGTTATTCTTAGTGCACAAAATATAATAGTCGTTTATAGAGATTTGATTTGAAATTCATACTAGCCCGTACAATGAAAAATAATTGCTCGTAATTCCAGAGTACTAATTTGTTAATGACTCAGACAAATAACATGAAAAAATAACAAATTAGTACTCTGGAATTACGAGCAATTATTTTTCATTGTACGGGCTAGTATGAATTTCAAATCAAATCTCTATAAACGACTATTATATTTTGTGCACTAAGAATAACATATCGCACTTATTTTCTAGAATCAAATTGTAATCAGTTTTACTTATATGTATGTATATTCAATGTGAACTTGCACCTTGAATAAAATATTACAGTTACTTTTCATGATAATATATTATTACTAAATTTAGATAATATACACTTTACGTATGTTCACTTTGAACTGGCACCTTGAATAACATATCAGTTACTTTTCGTGATAATTTATTATTAGATCGTTTAAATTTTTGAGTACCTTCTTTTGAACATGGCCTGACCTTTTCATTTTTATGATTTTTTTAGGATATTTGAATCAGAAATCTTTTTTATAATAATATAGCACAATATATTGTATAGCTTTCATACAAAATTATTATTTGAAGAAAAACGTTTACAAAATTTAACCATAAAGTTGACTTAATTATATGTATCGATAAAACAAATTTTTCCTTTGAAATTTTAAATTAAATCTTTTAAAGAAACCTAAACATAATGTAAAATATAACATTGTCAATTGTAATTTTAAGATAATATTAAATTGTGATTAATCGTTGATTTTTGATATGTGATAAAACTCTTTTCTTTACACACTGACAACATTTGAATTCAATCCCATTAAACAAATTTTTCGTGTGATATTTTTCTTTTCCGCAAAAGATTGACTTTTCCTGCATGGATTCCTCAAAAGTGGTATTCAAGCCGATGCATTCGTCTTGAATCCGAATCGTTTCAGTAACATCAACTTGATTTTCTTCCTCCATACAAATATGATAAAGACGAAGAAATTCTCTACTACATTTAACAAAGCACTAACAATATCAATGTAATAACTAATATTATATAATTGTACCGCAAAGAACCTTAAAATCGTATACAGAAACCAATTTATACCCGTAATGATAAACAACACGATAAATAACTTCATATATAGATTCAACCTGCAAAAAAATATATATTAGTCACCTTGTTTAGAATTATTATTCCATGTTATTATATATCACGAATTTGCACGATGTTTGGACATGTATCTGTTGGGATGTGCTGGTCGAGACAAGAGACACGGTTTTCTTTTATATATATATATATATATATATATATATATAGCATCATTGTCTCACTTTGTTTTGGTCTTATCACGTGAACGAAGAAACGGTCAATCACATGAACATGAACGGTCAAAATATCAATCGCGGGATTCCGGGATGTATCGGGCTTTTTCGGATCGACAACGAAGGCTTGCCTGTGCGGCCTGAAATAAATTCGCACAGGTCACTTGCTAATCTTCATGTCTCGAGAAGCGCATCGCAATACATAGTCGCGCATAATTTTAATAAATCAATATTATACAAGGATCAAGTCATTACAGTTTATTTCAATCAAACTCTCTCATACCATCGCGCCCGTACTGCTGCATTAAATAAAAACTAGAAGCCTGTGCTTCAGCTCGCGTCGCCCGTGGAGATTCAAAATTATACCCGGGACTTTACACGCGAGAGAATTCACGAAACATTTTGGTCCTTCGAGCCGGATTCTTTGCGACAAACTGAAATTTGTCAGATCCGCAACAATATTTAACGGTACGAGCCGCTTTGGAGTTGCATCGAGAGGGTCAAGGAGCAATGATTATCGTCCATCGAGAGGACATCCCTGAAGCATACAATCAGTGGCCGTTGAAATAAATGAGATAAGGAGCTGCCAACCCGGAGGAGCCCGTGTGACGATCCATGATGCAGAGAAATTGGCGGACGAACAACCAAAAGCGGTCAATGAGGCATTAGCTGAGCGATCAAATCGACGGTCAAGGTAGGAGAATTACTCACTTGCCAATCAGGGTGTTCATTTCCGTTTCGCATTTCGGGTGAACTGTTATTGTGGCGATATATATTGTGCGCGATAGCGATATATTGCGTGGATTATGGCTCATTCGGATCAGATCTTAGCACTAAAAAGAAAGCGTACGTCAATAAAGGCTGCGTGTACCCGAATAAAAACATACGCGGATTCGGTGACTCAATTGACGCCGGAAACGGTAGCAAATTTAGAGGAAAGAAAAGATAAATTAGCTAGCTATTGGAAGGAGTATGACTGGCAATCTGAGATAGAGGCGATCTGCGACGGTGAGGGAGGAGATCGCGAGGCGTTTGAAGAAATGTTTTTCGGATTGACGGCAGCGTTGCGCTGCAAGATTGCGGGATATAATCGCGTGCCTTCCAATAGCCGCTCCGCAGTGTCTACCCCGGTATCCGTCGGCGAGTCGGGCACCTCTGCATGCGGAGTACGATTACCGAAATTATATCTACCAAAATTCGCGGGAAAATACGAGGATTGGTTTCCTTTTTATGAAATGTTTAACTCCATAATAAATGATAATCCGTCCTTGAGCGGCTTCCAAAAATTTCAATATTTGAGAGCATCTATGACAGGCGAGGCAGCAATTATAATTCAATCGCTGGAATTGACTGATTCAAATTATCAAGTAGCTTGGGATTTATTAAAACAGAGATATGATAACAAACGCGCTATAGTGCATACGCATCTACGCGCTCTGTTCGAGCTGCCAAATATCGCGAAAGAAAATGCTGTTGAGCTGCGTAGGGTGGCGGACAATGCCGCGAAACACATACAAGCATTGAAGGCACTGCATTGCCCTACGGAGCATTGGGACACGCTGCTTATCAATACTTAGTTTCGTCTAAATTTGATCCGATTACTGCTAGAGAGTGGCAGGTGTCGTTGACCGGGACAGAATTACTCGCGTTCAAGCAACTCTCAGAATTTTTTGGAGCACAGATGCAATTTGCTAGAATCGTTGAATCGCGGAAATTTACAAACTCAGCCCGCCGGAAAGCGTTTGGCAGCTCACGTCGCGACTGCCTCTTTGTCTTGTGGATATTGCCAGGGAAAACATCTCATTTATTATTGTCGTGAGTTTATTAAACTGCCGGTCGCTCGACGAATCGCGGAAATACGGAAGTGCAAGCTATGCGCAAATTGTCTTCGCGGGGGCAATCATTATGCCGCAAAATGTAAAATGGGCGCGTGTAAAACATGCGGAGCCAAACATAATTCGATGCTTTATCTTCAGGCGGATTCGGGCGACATTACTGAAAAGGGAAAGGCCGAAGGTGAGCCGTCTCCGGAGACGATAAAAGAAAAAATAGTTATGACTCAGGTGTCCTCCGCGTGGAACGCGCATGTATTGCTTTCAACGGCAATTGTGTATATAATAGATGCTACTGGAACGAGACAATCATGTCGAGTTTTGCTAGACAGCGGCTCGCAAGCGAATTTTATAACGCGAAATTGTGTCGAGAGATTAAACTTAAGGCCATCGACGGGCAGTGTTAGAATCACCGGAATAAATGGCATGACAAGCGACGCCAACGAGATCGTGAAAGTAAAATTACATTCTCGTTTGAGCGGCTTCTGCGCGAGTTTGGAGTGCGTTTTGACGAACCGCATAACCGATCGGATACCTACGGCACCTATTAATCGAGAAAGGATACAAATACCTAATGGGATTAAATTAGCTGATCCGGAATTTCATAAATGCTCCGATATCGATATATTGATAGGCACCGATATATTTTGGCAGCTGCTTTATGTGGGGAGATTGAAGTGTTCCCGATCGCATCCCACGCTACAAAAAACGCTTTTCGGATGGATTGTCGCCGGCCGTGTGGAGGTCACCGCTCGTGACGCCCGTGGGCGCGAAGTGAGAGCGTTTCACATTTCGGTGGCGGATGCCGCCTTGCAAAATCAATTAGCCAAATTCTGGCAGATCGAGGAAGATTTTCGGCCGTCGGATTCGTACACTAGCGCGCAGCGTTTTTGCGAGAGACACTTCCTCGATAATACTAAGAGAAATGAAGAGAGTCGAATAATAGTCACGCTTCCGATTATTAAACAGAAATTAGAGAATCTCGGGGAAACGCGAGACATAGCAATGCGGCGTTTTTGCGGGCTGGAAAGACGGCTGAATCGCGATCCGGGATTAAAATCGCAATACGCGGCATTTATGCGCGAGTACTTGGCCCTTGGGCATATGAAATTAGTAAGGGAGGAAAATGACAAAAACAAGGGATTGCCGACGTACTATTTGCCGCATCATTGTATATTAAAGACGTCAAATAAAACGACTAAAATCAGGGTGGTTTTCGATGCTTCATGCAAAAGTTCGACAGGGGTTTCTTTGAACGACGCTCTTATGATCGGGCCGACGGTGCAGCAGGATTTATTTTCCATTGTATCGAGGTTTCGAATTTTTCGATTCGTATTCTCCGCAGACATCGCCAAGATGTACCGGCAGATATTGGTCGATCCGCAGCAGACGCGACTGCAGCGTGTTCTGTGGCGAGATGAGGCCACCGCGAGCGTGCAAACATACGAATTAATAACGTTGACATACGGTACAGCGACCGCGTCATATTTAGCTACTAGAGCGCTGCAATTTTTGGCCGAGATGTACGCGGAGAAATTTCCCGCGGGATCCCGGCGAGTGAAACGCGATTTTTACGTTGATGACCTGCTAACGGGAGCGGACACAATCGAGGAAGCATTAGCGTTGAAAAACCAGATCGTAAAGATTCTGAACCGCGGCGGATTTCAACTGAGCAAGTGGCATTCAAACGAATCAGTATTGATAAATGATATGTATGATAAACATAACGCCGAGGTTCAAATTGATAGAGACGCGACGTCGCGCATCCTCGGAATTCTTTGGAATCCGTCGATGGATGTATTTCGGTTCGCGATTGAATTGCCGACTGACTCACACAAGATAACGAAGCGCGTAATATTGTCGGAGATATCAAGATTATTTGACCCGTTGGGATTAATCGGTCCGGTTATTATCATACCAAAAATGCTGTTACAGGAGATTTGGCAATTAAAAATACAGTGGGATAAATCGATTCCACTGGATATGCATGCAAGGTGGTCCGCGTTTAAGAGACAATTAAGAGAATTAAATGATTTAAGCGTCCCGAGGTTTATAGGGAGAAATCAAGAGGGAACTCGCGTTCAGATACACGGGTTTTGTGACGCCAGCCAGCGGGCGTATGGCGCGTGTTTGTATATTCGAAGACAAGTAGATGGGAACGAAGTGCAGATTGATCTGTTGTGCTCTAAAACAAGAGTAGCCCCACTCAGAGCGATTTCGATTCCGCGACTCGAGCTTTGCGCGGCATTATTGCTGGCACAATTGTTGGACAAAGTGCGTTTATCTATTGACATAAAGGACGTGCGGTATACTTTGTGGTCGGATTCCACGATCGCGCTGAGATGGATTTCGTCGTGCTCGAGAAAATGGTCGGTTTTTGTGTCAAATCGCGTCGGAGAAATACAGCGGTTAACTTCCGGTTTGGATTGGCGGCACGTGCCGACAACCGAAAATCCTGCGGATTTGCTATCTCGGGGCGTCCACCCGCATGACATCGGGAATGCCGCGCTATGGTGGCGAGGTCCCGCGTTCTTAAAGAGCAGCGAGGAGTCGTGGCCAAGCGTTGGCGAATATGTCCTGGAGTCCGAGATGCCGGAGAGGCGGCGGATAGTTGCTGCTGTCGCTGGCGTGGTGGCACCAAGCCCCTTTTCGGAGCTTATAGTTAGATGTTCGAGTCTAGATAAATTATGCCGAATTGTTGCATATTGCAGGCGATTTATTGGATCGCGTCTGCGATCCGAGGGAGACGTGGGCGTTCACGTCTCGCACGTGGAAATCTCGGCCGCATTGGAAAACATTTGCAAGCTGGTGCAAGGGGAAGTTTTTTCAAACGAGTTCGAGCAATTAAAGAAGGGAAATGCTCTCACTTCCGCTAGCTCATTAAAATCATTATCGCCGTTCTTGGATAAACAGGGTCTGATTCGCGTCGGTGGGAGGCTCGAAAAATCACAATTAAGGTACGATGCCCGCCACCCAATTTTGCTCCCAAAGAATCATCGGCTCACTCAGCTCGTAATAAAGAAAGAACATATACGCAATTTGCACGCTGGATTACAGGGCACTATGGCTGCGGTGCGACAAAAATTTTGGCCTCTCTCGGTTCGCTCAACCACACGAAAGGTTATTAGACAGTGCCTCGTTTGTTTTAGATGCAGGCCGGCGATATCGGAAGCGAAAATGGGGGTGTTACCTGCGCCCCGTGTGACACCTTCGCGGCCGTTCTCTAATTGCGGCATCGATTACGCGGGGCCTCTCATTATAAGAGAAGGCAAGCGGCGAAATGCTCGAAATAGTAAGGCTTATGTTTGTATATTTGTGTGCTTCGCTACGAAAGCAGTACACATTGAAGTAGTCAGTGACTTGACGACGGACGCTTTTCTAGCGGCCTTAAAGCGTTTCATTTCTCGGCGGGGGTACCCGACTTCTATATTTTCCGATAATGGAACTAATTTTAAGGGGGCCTCGCGCCAATTGGAACAGTTGTACGCGTTTCGTGGCGCGTCATCAACCAAAGAAAAAATAGAACAGTTTTGTCGCGACTCCAGAATATCATGGCGTTTTATTCCACCTGGAGCGCCGCACTTTGGCGGGCTCTGAGAGTCCGCGGTAAAATCTGCGAAATATCACCTACAGCGTGTTGCGGGCGACTCACACCTGACTTTCGAGGAGTTGCAGACAACGTTGTGCGAAATAGAGGCTGTATTAAATTCGCGTCCGTTGACGCCGCTGAGTTCTGATCCTAATGATTTAGCCTATCTTACGCCGGGACATTTTCTGGTTGGCGAGGTATTGAGTGATTTTCCATGCCACGACCTTACTGATTTAATTATTAAGGAAGGTCGATTGATACGATTGCAGAGAGTCGAGCAGCTCCGCCAGCATTTTTGGAGTCGTTGGAGCCGCGAATACTTAAATCAATTGCAGCAGCGGCAGAAATGGATTAGCAACAAGGGAGAGCAGATGGGCGTTGGCAAGATGGTGCTAGTCATGCAACCGGGCCTTCCGCCTCTGCAGTGGGCGCTTGGCCGCGTAAAGGAAATTCATCCTGGAACTGATGGCATCGCCCGTACAGCCACAATAATCACGGCCAAGGGATCATTTGTCAGGCCTCTTTCAAAATTATCAATTTTGCCTCTAGAAGATTAGCATTTGTAAAAACATATATATTGTTTTTTGTTGCTTGACAATCAATTGTACTACATTCATAACATGAACGTGCTATATGAGTGCAAAAAAAAACAAAAAAACAGGACGTTTCTTTTGCAATTAGTTATAAAGTTTGACCACGCTGAATAATCAAATAGCGTTAATGACAAAATTATTTAAATCGCTTTAGATATTTGAATTGAGGACGACTCTTATCATTTATACTACACTTTACTCATTATATATTATTATTTTCTTTGCGTTACAAAGCATATTATTTAATATACATATTCATTGTACTGTTATTTGACGAAGCGTATCAATCATATTGTATGCCTGCCGCATGTATGTGACCCCGAGTTTATTTATTATTATTGTAAGACGACGTCTTCCAAGGCGGCCGGTGTTTAGAATTATTATTCCATGTTATTATATATCACGAATTTGCACGATGTTTGGACATGTATCTGTTGGGATGTGCTGGTCGAGACAAGAGACACGGTTTTCTTTTATATATATATATATATAAGCATCATTGTCTCACTTTGTTTTGGTCTTATCACGTGAACGAAGAAACGGTCAATCACATGAACATGAACGGTCAAAATATCAATCGCGGGATTCCGGGATGTATCGGGCTTTTTCGGATCGACAACGAAGGCTTGCCTGTGCGGCCTGAAATAAATTCGCACAGGTCACTTGCTAATCTTCATGTCTCGAGAAGCGCATCGCAATACATAGTCGCGCATAATTTTAATAAATCAATATTATACGAGGATCAAGTCATTACAGTTTATTTCAATCAAACTCTCTCATACCATCGCGCCCGTACTGCTGCATTAAATAAAAACTAGAAGCCTGTGCTTCGGCTCGCGTCGCCCGTGGAGATTCAAAATTATACCCGGGACTTTACACGCGAGAGAATTCACGAAACACACCTTTCAATAAAAAAAAAATAAATTCTATCTGTCAAATTATTAAATTGAAAAATGATGGAACAAATTATAATTCTTAAAAAAAGGGGGAAATGAGAAACAGTTATTTAAAGAAATACTATTAAAATTTTGCGGAAATTCAAATAAGCGTATCTCTGTGAAAAATTATCGTATTTGAAAATTTTTTTTGTTTTAAAGAGTGAAGGGTCTACTTTAAGAAACTTTCGTTCGATTTTGATTTCATTCTCTCCCCCTTTCTTCGCCCCTTTAAAAAGTAAGGTGTTTTTTTCATCAAACAATTAGAAGATATTTACGTGAACGTAGTTTAAGATCGCGAGTTTGACATTTTTCTCTCCAAATGTATGGATCATACATTTTTTCCAACCATTAGAAGAGAAAAATGTCGAACTCGCGATCTTAAACTACGTTCACGTAAACGTCTTTTAATTGTTTGATCACTGATTCTGCGAAGGAGATCTTCATTAGCAATTTGTCACGCAATCATCGTTGGTGCGCGTCGGGTATCGCTAAAGCTGGTGATATTAACATTTTACATTGAGATTTTCTTTTTATCTACACTTATATATATATATATATATATATGTCAATAGGCTATTTTGGCGACATCAAAAAATCAAACATTTTATGGTATACATAAGAGTACATTGACTCCCTGACGTATACATTACTTATAATTTCATGATAAAATGCACTGGTACAAATGTATAAGCAATTAAGTATAGATCGGTTAGTACAGCGACAGTACCAAGTTATGTATAATACATTATATATTTCGGCTATTTTAACGACATCATATTTTCCATAAAACGGTTATTATGACGCCACTCCAAAAATAAATAAAAATATAATAGCTATATCATTCATAGAATATACAAGCAATCAAGATATACAGGGTGAACCATTTAACCAATCCACGCAATGATAAAGGATAAAGGATTGATTAAAATGGTCCACCTTGTATATAGGAGAAGATGCAAATGTGGCCCGTGCTGATATATTGATAGTAAGTATTTGTAGTTTATGTATCAAATATAAAAAGTTCAAATCTAAAAAGTTCATAAAAAAAAATAAATCATAACCTTGAAAATATTACTTTTCGCACTTTTTCTTATACCAATATATAAAATCTTTTGAGGTTCGGTTAATTTTTTTATAAACTCTTTAGACTCGACCGTTTTCATATTTGTTACATAAACTAGCCTTAAGCTTTAGTTTAAACTGTCGAAAAAATTTGTATCAATCCCAATTAAAAGTTATATCTTATTGAAACGTGTAATAAATGCCCTTTTTCGAATTTTCAAATTAAGATATCTTAAAAACCTGACATGCCACAGTTACATCTACTCCTCTGTATATCTTGATTGCTTGCATATTCGATTAATGATATAGCTATTCAAAAGAAGAATTTCTATATTTGCTTTTGGAGTGTCGTTATAATAACCGTTTTACGGAAAATATGATGTCGTCAAAATAGCCGAAATATATAATGTATTATACATAATTTAGTATTGTCGCTGTACTAACCAATTTAAGTACAAAATTATGTATAATACATTATATTTTGGCTATTTTGACATCATGTTTTCCATAAAACAGTTATTGTAAAGATATTCCAAAAGTAAATAAAAAAATTCTTCTTTCGAATAGCTATGTCATTCATCGAATATGCAAGCAATTAAGTTATATAAAAAAGGTGCACATATAGCCCGTGCTAATATATTGGTAGTTGCTATTTGTAGTTCATGTAACAAGTATGAAAAAAATCGAATCTAAAGAATTTATAAAAAAAGTAAATCATATCATGAAAATATTATTTTTCCACTTTTTCTTATATAAAGAATCTTTTGAGGTATGGTTAATTTTTTTATAAACTCTATAGATTCGAACTTTTTCATATTTGTTACATAAACTACAGTCTCAAGCTTTATTTTAAGCCGTCGAAGAAATTTGTGTCACATCCCAATTAAAAGTTATACAATATCTTACTAAAAAATGTAAAAAAATGCCCTTTTTCGCATTTTTAAATTATTATATCTCAAAAACTTGACATGCTTCATTCGTACCTTCTCCTCTATATATCTTGATTGCTTGCATATTCGATGAATAATATAGCTATTTAAAAGAAGGATTTCTTTATTTGCTTTTGGAGTGTCGTTATAATAACCGTTTTATGGAAAATATGATGTCGTTAAAATAGCCGAAATATATAATGTATTATACATAACTTGGTACTGTCGCTGTACTAACCGATCTAAGTATAATATTATGTATAATATATGTATATTTCGGCTATTTTGACGACATCACATTTACCATAAAACATTTATTATAAAGACATTCTACAAGTAAATGAAAAAATTCTTTTAAATAGTTATATCATTTACCGAATATGCAAGCAATCAAGATATATAGAAGAGAAGGTGCAAATATAATCCGTGCTGATATATTGGTATTTGTAGTTTATGTAACAAATATGAAAAAGTTTGAATTTATAGAGTTTATAAAAAAATTAAATTTTAAGATAAAAAATATTATTTTTTGCACTTTTTCTTATACTAATATATAGAATCCTCTGTTTTTGAAGTTCGGTTAATTTTTTTATAAAGTCTTTAGATTCGACCGTTTCCATATTTGTTACATTAACTAGCCTTAAGCTTTAGTTTAAGCTGTCGAAGAAATTTGTATCAATCTCAATTAAAAGTTATATCTTATTCAAACGTGTAATAAATGCCCTTTTTCAAATTTTCAAATTAAGATATCACAAAAACCTGACATGCCACAGTTACATCTACTCCTCTGTATATCTTGATTGCTTGCATATTCGATTAATGATATAGCTATTCAAAAGAAGAATTTCTATATGTGCTTTTGGAGTGTCGTTATAATAACCGTTTTATGGAAAATATGATGTCGTCAAAATAGCCGAAATATATAATGTATTATACATAATTTTGTATTGTCGCTGTACTAACCAATCTAAGTACAAAATTATGTATAATACATTATATTTTGGCTATTTTGACATCATGTTTTCCATAAAACGGTTATTGTAAAGATATTCTAAAAGTAAATAAAAAAATTCTTCTTTTGAATAGCTATGTCATTCATCGAATATGCAAGCAATTAAGATATATAAAGAAGGTGCACATGTAGCCCGTGCTGATATATTGGTAGTTGCTATTTATAGTTTATGTAACAAGTATGACAAAAATCGAATCTAAAGAATTTATAAAAAAGTAAATCATAACATAAAAATATTATTTTTCGCGCTTTTTCTTATACCAATATAAAGAATCTTTTGAGGTATAGTTAATTTTTTTATAAACTCTTTAGATTCGAACTTTTTCATATTTGTTACATAAACTACAGTCTCAAGCTTTATTTTAAGCTGTCGAAGAAATTTGTATCACATCTCAATTAAAAGTTATACAATATCTTACTAAAAAGTGTATAAAAATGCCCTTTTTCGCATTTTTAAATTATTATATCTCAAAAACTTGACGTGCCACAGTTACATCTACTCCTCTGTATATTTTGATTGCTTGCATATTCGATTAATGATATAGCTATTTAAAAGAAGAATTTTTATATGTGCTTTTGGAGTGTCGTTATAATAACCGTTTTATGGAAAATATGATGTCGTTAAAATAGCCGAAATATATAGTATTATACATAACTTGGTACTGTCGCTGTACTAACCGATCTAAGTATAATATTATGTATAATATATGTATATTTCGGCTATTTTGACGACATCACATTTACCATAAAACATTTATTATAAAGACATTCTACAAGTAAATGAAAAAATTCTTTTAAATAGATATATCATTCACCGAATATGCAAGCAATCAAGATATATAGAAGAGAAGGTGCAAATGTAATCCGTGCTGATATATTGGTATTTGTAGTTTATGTAACAAATATGAAAAAGTTTGAATCTATAGAGTTTATAAAAAAATTAAGTTATAAGATAAAAAATATTATTTTTTGCACTTTTTCTTATACTAATATATAGAATCCTCTGAGGTTTGGTTAATTTTTTTATAAAGTCTTTAGAATCGACCGTTTCCATATTTGTTACATTAATTAGTCTTAAGCTTTATTTTAAGCTGTTGAAGAAATTTGTATCACATCCCAATTAAAAGTTATATATCTTACTGAAAAGTGTGAAAAAGCCCTTCTTTCACATTTTTAAATTAATATATCTCAAAAACCTGACATGCCACATTCGCACCTTCTTCTCTATATATCTTGATTGCTTGCATATTCGATGAATGATAAAGCTATTTAAAAAAATAATTTTTCTATTTGCGTTTAGTATGTCGTTATAATAACCGTGTTATGGAAAGTATGATGTCGTCAATATAGCCAAAATATATAATGTATTATACATAATTTTGTACTGTCGCTGTACTAACCGATCTAAGTACAAAATTATGTATAATACATTATATTTCGGCTATTTTGACGACATCATATTTACCATAAAACATTTATTATAACGACATTCTATAAGTAAATTAAAAATTCTTTTAAATAGTTATATTATTTATCAAATATGCAAGCAATCGATATATAGAAGAGAAGGTGCAAATGTTATCCGTACTGATATATTAGTAGTTGGTATTTGTAGTTTATGTAACAAATGAAAAAGTTTGAATCTAAACAGTTTATAAAAAAATTTAGTTATAAGATAAAAAATATTTTTTTTGCATTTTTTCTTATACTAATATAGAATCTTGTGAGGTACGATTAATTTTTTATAAACTCTTTAGATTCGAACTTTTTCATATTTGTTACATAAACTACAGTCTCAAGCTTTATTTTAAGCGTCGAAGAAATTTGTATCACATCCCAATTAAAAGTTATATCTTACTAAAAGGTGAAAAAAATGCCCTTTTTTGCATTTTTAAATTATTATATCTCAAAAACCTGACTTGCTACATTCGCACCTTTTCCTCTATATATCTTGATTGCTTGCATATTCGATGAATATGATATAGCTATTTAAAAAAAGAATTTCTTTATTTGCTTTTGGAGTGTCGTTGTAATAACCGTTTTATGAAAAATAGGATGTCGTCAAAATAGCCGAAATATATAATGTATTATACACAACGTGGTACTTTTGCATAGACGCTTAAGCGTAAGCATAAGAATCTTGATTGGTCTATAAACATATGCAAGAGTGTGTGCTCCCACTTAAGAGTGCCGTGTAAACGTACATACTGATTGTCAATTGTCGACGTCGGTCTTGCTGGCCATTTTGAGAAAGTAAAAAAAGCGGGAAGGAACAGGAGGCCATTAGCCATTAGTAATACGTGATACTGGTTCATTTTCCAAAATGTATAGTTTAGTGAAATTTTATGACGGTATACATTATGTATGCAAGTCGAACACAATTAGTGTTAGTAAAGGAATTATCAAAGCCACGTATAGCAATCGACGCAGATACACAGCAAATATTCTAGCAAGAAATGGTAAGTAGCAATATTTTTCATTTTTAACTGTTACGTTATTGTAAAAACTGTTATATTAAAGTCATGCCGCTGTTATACAATATCTACATTTGCTACGATATTTATATGTGTGCGTGCGTACGTGTTGCGTGTGTGTGTCTAGAGAGAGAGAGAGAGAGAGAGAGAGAGACAGAAAAATTTGAACTAAAACTAATTAATTTTATTTTAACTTGTTCAGATAAGGAATCAGTATTAAAACAAATAGTAGAAAATATAATTGAAGGAAAACCGTATATTATATGCAAAAGAATTAACTTTGAAAACAAAAAAGTAAATAAATTTGGAAATGATGATGCTCAAGTACACTTAGGTGAGTTTCCTTAATATTAGTAAATTGTATGATCGCTATTTTAAGCGTGGTCTACAATAGCAGTAAGTAAGCAGTAAGAGTAAACAGTATGAAATTGGATTGCCCATTTCGTCGGGAGTAATAAAATGAACAAACCTCATTTTGTACTGCTTACTCTTACTGCTTACTGCTATTGTAAACCACGCTTTATAATAAATATATATTAGTGTAGTTTTGCTTCTTACTTTTATATTATAGATAATAATACAAGAATAAGATCTATCGATGAAAATATTTACAACAATGTGACTGCCTCGCAAGAAAAAGGCTGTGAATCTTTTGTAAATGATGCTGAAATGCTAGGTGAGCTTCCTTAATATTGATAAATATTATAATTGCTATTTTATTATAAATACTTGATAATAATGTAGTTTTGCTTTTTACTTTCATATTAGATATTAATACAAAGAAAGGCTCTGTCGATAAAAATACATGCTTCGAAGAGACTGCTACACAAAGAGAAAACTGTGAATCTCTTAAAAATGATGATGCTCAAGTACTATTAAGTGAGTTTCTTTATATTAACAAATTTTATGACAGATATTTTACAATAAACATTTATTAATGTAGTTTTGCTTCTTACTTTTATATTATAGATAATGATACAAGAATAGGATCTATCGATAAAAATATATACAACAATGAGACTGCCTCGCAAGAAAAAGTCTGTGAATCTTTTGTAAATGATGCTGAAATGCTAGGTGAGCTTCCTTAATATTGGTAAATATCATAATTGCTATTTTATCATAAATACTTGATAATAATGTAGTTTTGCTTTTTACTTTCATATTAGATATTAATACAAAGAAAGGCTCTGTCGATAAAAATACATGCTTTGAAGAGACTGCTACACAAAGAGAAAACTGTGAATCTCTTAAAAATGATGATGCTCAAATATCATTAGGTGAGTTTCTTTAATATTAGCAAATTTCATGAATGCTATTTTACAATAAACATATATTAATATAGTTTGCCTCTTACTTTTTTATTATAGCTGATGATACAAGAATAGCATTTATCGATGAAAATATATACAACGGTATGACTGCCTCGCAAGAAAAAGGCTGTGAATCTTTTGTAAATGATGCTGAAATGCTAGGTGAGCTTGCTTAATATTGATAAATATTATAATTGCTATTTTATTATAAATACTTGATAATAATGTAGTTTTGCTTTTTACTTTCATATTAGATATTAATACAAAGAAAGGCTCTGTCGATAAAAATACATGCTTTGAAGAGACTGCTACATAAAGAGAAAACTGTGAATCTCTTAAAAATGATGATGCTCAAGTACTATTAAGTGAGTTTCTTTATATTAACAAATTTTATGACAGCTATTTTACAATAAACATTTATTAATGTAGTTTTGCTTCTTACTTTTATATTATAGATAATGATACAAGAATAGGATCTATCGATAAAAATATATACAACGATGAGACTGCCTCGCAAGAAAAAGTCTGTGAATCTTTTGTAAATGATGCTGAAATGCTAGGTGAGCTTCCTTAATATTGGTAAATATCATAATTGCTATTTTATCATAAATACTTGATAATAATGTAGTTTTGCTTTTTACTCTCACATTATATATTAATACAAAGAAAGGCTCTGTCGATAGGAATACATGCATCAAAGAGATTGCTGCACAAAGAGAAAACTGTGACTCTCTTAAAAATGATGATGCTCAAATATTAGGTGAGTTTCTTTAATATTAGCAAATTTCATAAGTGCTATTTTATGATAAACATATAATATAGTTTTGCTTCTTACTTTTATATTAGATACTGATATGAAAATAAGATCTATTGATGAAAATATATATAATGATATGAAAATAAGATCTATTGATGAAAATATATATAATGAAAAGGCTGCCTTGCAAGAAAAAGGCTATGAATCTTTAGAGATCAATGACTCGCAAATATTAGGTGAGTTTCCTTAATATTAACTAAAAATTTAAAGTATCCCACATTAATGTTATGTGAAGTGTCGGTTAAATCAGCTGGTTTTTTAATATGTTGTAGCTTATAATCTATTGAAAAAAATGTAATAGGCTCAAAGCTAAATAATAGGTACTGATTTATACAATCAGTCAAATATGAAATACTCGGGCTTTGCGAACTGCTTGCCTGGCTATACTCAATAATTGTTTATTAATTAGCCTTGAGATTATTGCATCTTTTGTTCAACAGATCATAAGCTACATTTGAAAAAAAAACAGCTGGTTTAACTGAAATTCATTTCACATAAGATTAATGCGAAGTACTTTCATAACTATTATTTTAGCATAATTATTTGATAATAATTCAGTTCTGCTTTTATATTAGATATTAATACATTGATAAATGCTATCGATAAAAATGAAAATATTGGTGAGATGCATATCAAAGGCTGTAATTTCCTGGAAAATTCTGGAATTTTAATGACTATAGGTAATTTTTTCAATATTAATCACAATATTTTCACAAAAGTTATTCATAATGGTGTTTGTTACATATATTAATTGCTACATATTACAAAGTACATATTACTAAATAATTGCAATGTTTTATCAATATCATTTTTCTTAATTTTTTTGATAAGCAATAGTTAAAATTCAGAATTATTTTATGTAAAAATAATCGCTACTAAAGAAAAAAAATCATTTAGTTGAAAATAAATATTGTCATTTTTAGTGTATATATAAATACGTTTTCTCTCTCTCTCTTGCTATTCTTTTATGATTTTAGTAATTTTTAATAAAAAATGTAAAGCTAAAAAATATTGTTTTTATTTTCTTTTATGACTATATTTTTAATAAAATGTAAAGCTAAAATATATAAAATATATAAAATTTTAATTTTATTTTTTAATATTTCGGTTAATTCACATCTAGTAATTCGGCATTTATCAATTTCAATATGTATGCACTATTTTAATAATATATGGTAATAATATATATTTTTCTAGCATCTCCTTATGGCAAAACCAAAAGGCAGCGTTGGACAGAAAAAGAAAAAGAAACAGTACTTCAAGCATTTTCCACACATATGAAAAACTTAACGCTACCGTCTTTACGAGAAATTCAAGAAACTAAAAAGAAGTATAGTTGTTTATTTAATCGGACATCGCCGCAAATAAAAACATGGATCCATAATAAACAGAAAGCTCTACGACAATATGAATAATGTCATTCTGGTAATTGCAACTGCTTTGAATTCTTGTTTATTTCATTAGATAATATTTTAAAAAATGTTTTCTTATCATTTAATTAATACTTCAAACATAATACTTCAAATTTATTTTATATTCTTTCAAGATGTCAGTTTTCGACAAAATTTACACCGATAATGAAAGTTATTGAAAGTTGCAAACAATATAATTGTAGCTTTTAATTTTTTATGAATTTTTTGTTTTGTTTATTTTGAAATATTATTTTTGTTTTAGAAGCATAATAGCATGCTACATATAAAACGATAAAATATAAGTATAATATAATACAATAGTTTGAAAAAGAATTTAATTTGCAAATATATATGTATACATATGACCTCTAGTGTATCATAAGACTGCTATTCTATTGTAATTTATTTATTTTTCGTGATACACACACAAGACGGTATTGTGGACATTTTGTTGACTAACTGTACTTTTTTATTATATATACAATATTATTTATTGTATTACAATATGTATATTATATATAATAATTATTATATCACAAATGATATATATACATATATATAGATAATATGTTACATATAAGTAGGTTACATATTTATCTTATTTATAGCTTTTTATTATTACAACATGCTCATTTAGCGAACAGATGAAGATATTTATGTTCCTTGGAGGACTTAGGTTAGTGCGGACTATTTCTAAAAGAAGATAGCCTCAGTACTCTTAATTTTAGACCAATGAGTGCTGGGACTGTCCTTAGTCGAGGACAGAGTCCGCATTGGTCGACGTCCTTGATCGAACTTAGACCAATGGGTGCTGGGACTGTCCTTGATCGAGGACAGAGTCCGCATTAGTCGACGTTCTTGATCGAACTTAGACCAGTGGGTGTTGGGACTGTCCTTATCGAGGACAGAGTCCGCATTGGTCGACGTCTTTGATCGAACTTAGACCAGTGGGTGCTGGGACTGTCCTTGGTCGAGGACAGAGTCCGCATTGGTTGACATCCTTGATCGAACTTAGACCAGTGGGTGCTGGGACTGTCCTTAGTCGAGGACAGAGTCCGCATTGGTCGACGTCCTTGATCGAACTTAGACCAATGGGTGCTGGGACTGTCCTTAGTTGAGGACAGAGTCCGCATTGGTCAACGTCCTTGATTGAACTTAGACCAATGGATGCTGGGACTGTCCTTGATCGAGGACAGAGTCCGCATTAGTCGACGTTCTTGATCGAACTTAGACCAGTGGGTGTTGGGACTGTCCTTATCGAGGACAGAGTCCACATTGGTCGACGTCCTTGATCGAACTTAGACCAGTGGGTGCTGGGACTGTTCTTGGTCGAGGACAGAATCCGCATTGGTTGACATCCTTGATCGAACTTAGACCAGTGGGTGCTGGGACTGTCCTTGGTCGAGAACAGAGTCCGCATTGGTCGACGTCCTTGATCAAACTTAGATCAGTAGGTGCTATCTCCTTTTAAGAATGGAGTCCGCACTAGCTTAAATCTTCCAGAGAATATCTTTTGGTGTCTCCAGATGAGCATGCTTGTAAAATAAAGAGATGATTAAACTATAAGTCTGGAAGATAAACACGTTATAATAAAGTAAAAGATAGTTTAATTACTTAAATATTAATATTATCATACAACTCTGAAATTCAAATCACTTGTCAATACTTAAAGTGTTTATGTTCATTAAATCGCTACTAACATTTTCTTTTATTCTTTTACGAATGCATTTTTCTTTTTACGAAATTTTCGTGATTGAAATCCAGAGATTGTACAAAATTGACTAGTTGTATATAATTATTTTTTATAGAGAATTAGTTATGCAATGGATTTTACAAAAAACAAATTCATGCTAATAATACATAAATGTGCAATTAGCTTATGTTTAATTTTGTTTGCTTAAAATGTATGTTTTTTAAGACTACACTAAGCGCTTTGATTTAACATCTTGGTTTTAAGGCTCCTGTATACTCGTCGCAGCCACGTCAGAGCCACGTGTTGACGTCAGAGGCGAGAAATTTCTTGCGGAATATTTTTAAATAAAAAGATTTCGATAAAACAACACTACAAATCTCTTTGTACACTTGTAAAATATACCGAAGACTAACCTTCTCTCTTGATAGTCAATCAGCACCTGTAAAATAATTGAAACATCAGACTTTGTCATGTAGAATGATTGCACATGTGCAAAGACCAGATGGACTGGATCTGATATTACAGTCATTTTACAGCTGTTGATTGATTATAATGGGAAAAAGCTAGTTTTCGATATATTTTACAAGTGTGCCAAAGACGTTTGTAGTGTTATTTTATTGAAATATCTTTTTATTTAAAAATGTTTCGCAAGAATTTTCATCGTGTTTTTTCGCCTCTGCATGATGTCACGATTCCGACATAATCGGCGAGTATCCAGGAGTCTCAACTTTCAAATTTATATAATATAATATATTAATATATGTGTAATTTTAAGTAATTATAATAATTTTAATAATTTTAATTTTTAAAGTAATTATAAGTATTCAAATTAAATAGGTATTTAAGTAGATAGTTTTACAAAAAATGTACGCAAAGATTATATGTAGACGACACAGATGTATGCTAAGTTTTACTGCAATTTTTTACATCAGTTTTTTCTGCGAATTGTATTTCGAGAATAGCGACCAGTATAGTCGCAGTCTTAACATCTACTGTATTTTTGTTCCATAATTTTTTTTTCATAAATTGTATTTGTATTTCTTATAATCAATATTTGCATTTGTATCAACATACGTATTTTTTCGAATTATGTATTGTGAATAACAGTTAATATTTACATTAAGTGTTTAGAATGTTCTTTAATGCATTTCAGCATTCTTTGATTGCATAACAGCAACTAACCATTTTTGAGATCTAACGAATAAAAAATCTATATTCTAAAAAATTCTCACAATGTTGTTTTTTATTGTTGGTCTAATAAAACTCATTAACATCACACAAATGTACATTATGTACATATTAGAACAGTAATTCTAATATTGTACATTTTTGTGTGTGTGTACATTATGTATATACACAAATGTATAATATTAGAATTACTATACTACAATACTTTCTGTGTTGTTTTTCTCTGTCGATCTTGTTTCAAAGAATATATTTTAAATATTTTAAATATCAGTTTCTATGTGTGACTATGACAATGCTTTACTGTTCTTGTTTACTCTAATTAAAATAGGTATTTTTTAGTTTTTCGTGTGTTTGCATTATAATTT